TTTTTTTCTTTCTTTTTTTTTTTTACTTTTTTTCTTTTTTTGTAATTGCCAGAGGGTGCATGCTCTCACCAGAGAGACAAAAAGTACCCCCCCTTCCCATAACCCCCATCCCTCCATTTCTCTATCTTGTCAGGATTTTGGATGTACACACATGCATGCCTGCCATGTTTTTCAAGCCACCAGGGCTGGGATTCAAACCACGGTTGCCCAGGTGGGATCTGGCTCCCAATGCACAACACTTAAACCACTGTGCTATGGGGCTGGCCCTATTTTAGAAAACATTTAATACTTTTCACCAAATTGAAAATGCTTGGCTGATTTAAGACATGAAAATGTAACTTCTAAAACAAAAGGCTATGCCTGACCAGACAGGCTTTTCCACCCTTCACAGATGTGTTTCTTTCTTGATTTGCAGATGTGAGGAAAGGATTCCACTTCGTGCAAACACCACTGAAGACAGAAAGCCGAAGGTCAGCAGTGAGAAAAGCCAGAGGCTACGCAGAGCCAAGACCTTGCCAGGGGAATGCCTAGCAGGGTCCAGGCTCCTTGTCCCAGTCGAAGCCTTGAAGATGCTTTCAAGGAGTTTTTCTAACACCATAGCTCAAGGGTATGGCTTGGTTAGTCACCCTATCAAACACACAAGCTACACTGTTAGCACAATTTGCTACAAGGTCAGAGAAAAAGAGGGATCAGTGTGAATTAAAAGACAACAAAATGTCCAGGTTCCTCTTTTATTCTGAAATAAAGAATGCTGGCTGAGGGCGAGCGCGTGGGCAAGTCCGCAGCATTGTAGGTCCACTTCTAAAATGCCCACACATTTTTAAAAATTAACTTAATCATCTCATGATTCATTTTATGTTACTGTGATCACAGTTCATTTCATCGAAAACTTCACATTATGGTTTGAATGATGGTTTTTTTTCCCCCACAAGAGTTTTGTGTTTTGGAATTTGGTTTTAATGAGTAATGACTGGCTGTCCCCTAGAAATTCATGTGTTAGAACTCAGTAGTACTGATGGTACTGTAAAGATATTAAGTGAAAACTTAATTCCTTCCTGGTGTCCCAGGGTGATGCCTTTGGGTGCTACAGCGTCTTTAGAGCAGGTCACTACGGTTGAGTGGTGGTGGGTATATGAGCAGAGGGAATGAGGCCGGAGCAGCAGAAAGGTACAGAGATGCAGACCGTGCTCCGCCCTACTAACAGTTCTGCTTTCTGCTATTCGTGATGCCACCAGAATGTTGAATTACTGAACTTCTATTTCTTTGTAACTCACCCTAGCCTCGGATACTTCTGTTAGCAATGTAGTAACAGACAAAAACACTTCATAAACTTTCGAGTTCATGTTTTATAGATAAGATGTCTGTTCTTGAGATTGTCTAGGTTTTTCTCCCCTCCTACTGACGGCAAGTTTATCGCTTGTGGGAACCATGTCTCACATCTGCTTTCATTTTCTCATGCATGAACTAGAGATGAAATTGCAATGAATGTTCCTGAACAGTCAGTTCCCAAACTGAGTAAGCCATTCTCTTTTTTCAAAAGGTACTACAATAGATTGCTCACCAGAACAACCCCCAAACATAAATACCTGCAAGTACTGCTTTTTTGCATCACTTCCGCCCTGTGATAGCCAGACAGCTTGCAAAATCCATCATTGCTGTACACGATAGGCCAGTCCACTATCTGGGCATTCCCCAACACAAAATTCGTATCTGTTTAAAAGGAAAAGAAGAGGAGACATGAAGCAAGACATTAGCTGAGATTCAATGAGGGTATAAACTTCAGTGACTAATACAGGTAATTCTGCCTTCCTCCAGTCGTGGACTCTGGAACAGGAACGGGAGTCTATGAGAAGTGCATAGGAATAGTGTTTTAGAACTACGTATTTGGAATGTGAATGCTAACCGAGGCCACTACCCTCCAGGAAGAAATTACTAAAGGAAGCATGCTTAACTGAGCAACCAAAAAATCCTGCAGAAATCCAGGCCACTCACCCAAAACATACTTAAGTCTTACATCTGCATCCCATTGAAAGTACACCAATAGGGCCAACAAGTGCTGTGGTAGTTAAGGTGCTGGACTCCCACGTGGCCGACCGCAGTTCGAGTCCTGGACTTGGTGGCTTGAAAATCATGCCAGGATGTGTGCACACATGCCCCCAATCCCAGGAGAATGGAGAAGGAATTGTAGTGTGGCCATCCCCCTTGGGGGGTGAGCGTGATTTCTCACTTTCCCTCTCTTAGGCAAGTGCATGCACCCTATAACAAAAACTTAAAAACAAACCAAAAAAAAAAAAGTATACTGATAACACTGGGCAAAAGCTATTTCTTCTGGGCTCTGTCCAGCACCTTCACCTCAACACTCTCTTGACCAGAAGCTGTCAGTCAGTCTTCTTGACCCTACTGCCATTTGCCCATCCTTAGAGAAGTACTTAGCAAGGCAGAGGACAGGGAATTGAGCACTGCCTTGTGGAACTGTCCCCTCTCCCCTTCAGAAAGAACAGTGACTAGACCCTCCTAGTGCTGTGTACAGGCTGATCAAGATGCTCACACAATGGAAACTTCCTGTTGATTTTGAAATTTTGCAGCCACAGACCTGCTTTGTGGGACTCTTCTATGGAGCAGAGATCTAACAGTCTAAGACTCATATGAGTCTTCAGAAAGTTCCTGGAAAATGCACATTAAGAAAACTGGGGCCGGCAGGTGGCATGGTGGTTAAGGGTGCTGGACTCCCACATGGCCAACCATGGTTCGGGTCCTGGATCTGGTGGCTTGCTTTCTCACTTTCTCTTTCTCTCTCTGTCTGTCTGATCAAACTGGAAAGTAACAATAATAATAAATAAAGTTAAATAAAATAATTCTTTTTAAAAATTTTTTAAAAAAGAAAACTATGCATGGATTTCAACATCGTTTGCACCAAAACAAAGTCATACTTTAATTATATTTCCACAAACTTTTTGAAGTCCCCTCATAATGCAGGATTTTTTTTGGGGGGGGGGTTTGCTATAGGGCACGTGCACTCGCCAGAAAGACAGAGAGAGACAGAGAGATAGAAAGCTAGAAACTCCCCCGGGGGGATGGCCATGCCACAATCCCTTCTCCTCCATTCTCCTCTTGGGATCTTGGGCACGCACATACACGCGCCTGGCATGAGTTTAAGCACCAGGTCCAGGACTCGAACTGTGGTCAGCTACATGGGAGTTCAGCAACATAGCCATTATGCTAACTGCTGGTCCCATAATGCAGGGTTTTTTTTGAAAGAATTATTTCTTTGGGGGCCAGCAGGTGGCATGGTGGTTGAGGGCACTGGACTCCCACATGGCTGACCACGGTTTGAGTCCCAGACCTGGTGGCTTGCTTTCTCTCTTTCTCTCTTCCCATCTCTGGTCAAAGTAAAATAAATAAATTTTAGGGGAAAAAAAGAGTTATTTTTATTTATTCATTCATTCATTCCACAGAGAAATAGAGAGACACAGAGAGATAGAGAGAAAGAGAGAAAGCAAGCCACCAGGTCTGGGACTCAAACCGTGGTCAGCCATGTGGGAGTATCCAGCGCCTTAACCACCACACCACCTGTTGGTCCGTATGATGCAGGATTTAAACAGGCCAGATATGATTCACTGGCTCATTGTGTTCTCACTACTTGCCACCTTTCGAAGATCAAAAGTCTTCAATATTTTCTGTGTTCAGGAAATCAACTATCCTTCCTTTCTTCTCAAGAACTTAAATTAAGCAGAAAACACAGAACTTATATGTATCGTTATTTTAGCTTGACTCCCTCTTCTCCACAGAATAGCCATCCACCTCCCTCACCCCCTCAAAAAAGACAAAATACACATACTCTCTCTGTTGTAAACCAGAAAAGGTTTACAGTAAAATAATGGCAATACATAATGCCTTCATTTAATTGGGAAGTCAATTTTGTCCTATGATACAATTTATTTGCAATATAGGTAACCATCCCTTCCTTACCTACATGAGGAGGTGACTAGCCTAGCCAGACAGGCTTCTCTACCCTTCATACAAAACTTTATTTCTTGGTTTGGCAAATTCAGGAAAATGACTCCCCTTCATACAAACATCATTAATGACAGAAGACTCTAAAGAGGTGAAGCCTCAGAGAAGCCAAAGACTATGCTAAGCCAAGATAGTATAGAAGCAGGAGATAGAGGAGGAATTGCTAAATACAGTAATCTAGTCCTGAGAATGCTTTCATCTACTTAAAAGGCACATAAAATACAACTTTCATAAAGTGAATCTGTAAACCCACTATTTTTGTAAATACGTTTTTGATGAAAATCTACAAGCAGCCCTTCCCTCCACCTGCCCCACATATACATCAATACTTCCTGGGAACCAGCAGTTAGCGTAATGGCTATGTTGCTGGACTCCCATGTAGTTGACCACGGTTCATGTCCTGGACCCGGTGGCTTAAAACTCACGCCGGGCGAGTGTGCGTGCGTGCCCAAGATGCCGAGAGGAGAATGGAGGAGAAGGGATTGCGGCGTGACCATCCCCCCTGGGGGGTGATTTCTCGCTTTCTGTCTCTATGTCTCTCTCTCTCTCTGTCTTTCTGGTGAGCGCACGCGCCCTATAGCGAAAACCTCTCCAAAAAAAAAAAAAAAAAAACTTCTTTAGTGCTCTCTAGGTATGAATACAAGACCTAGGGATATCTAGATTGATAAGACATGACTCCTGCATGTGAGGAAATTATCAGGATACATAGCATGTGTGCTACCAAAAAAAAAAAAAAAAAGGTAAGAAAATGATCACCTCTGTTTTAGAGAGGTAACGGTCTTTGTCTGGCAGGGAATAGTACTTGAATTTGCTCTAGTCTGAAAGAGGGGCCAGGCAGTGGCACAGCGGTAATGCAATTAGACTCACATAGGGAGTTCCTGGGTTGAAATCGTGGAACCTCCCTGCATGTGCTGGGCATGTACCGTGTGTCCATGAGCCTGGCTGAGAGACTGTGAATGGATCATAGCAGGAAGACCCTGATGGGAGTGGCTGTCGCTTTCTCTTTCTCTCTCTCTCTCTCTCTCTCACACACACACACACACACACACACACACACACACACAGAAGAAACATTAAAGTGAACTTTAAAACAAAATAAAAGGGGTCAGCCTATGGTGTGGTGGTTAAAACTGGATGCCACATGACTAACTGTGCAGTTTGAGTCCCAGACCCAGTGGCTTGAAAAAACACACTGGGCATGTATGCCCAAAATTTCAAAAGGAGGGAGAAATGAAGGAAGAGAAACAAATCCCACTGCCAACTTCTTTGACCTTAGTAAAGCAGCAGGAAAACAGGAAGTACAGTAGGAATCGAATTATTAATTTATTGATCATCTACCACAGAATTCTCATCATAGAATTTAAAATTCAAAAACTGTTTCTTCTCACTGTTAGCCCAAGGAAAAGGTTGGAGCAAGATTTCCTTGCCAATGTGTGACAGAAGATCTAGAAATTCCCTCTTTATCTATGAACTTGAAAAGAATGAAGGAGGAATTCCAGCATCGGCCAAAGAACCATTTGCCTCCAACAGTAAAGAAATTCTTCCCTCTGCTTCCCCCATTCCTAGAAAGCACATTCCCTTCTGAGTCTAAGCTACAAATAATTGACATGCTAATTACTTTCAAAACTTATTCTTTATAAGTTAGCGGCTACCATACAAATACTACGATGCCATATATATCATCAAGAACTACGGGATTCCACTTAAGTGATATTACAAGTGTTAGTAAGCATGCATGGGGACCATTTAGTGACCTTTACTCTGTGCCAGGTACTGCTACTACATATTTTACCATTATTAAGGGTTATCATTGTTGTTATTGTTGTTTAACCTTTACAACAATCTTTGTGAAAAGGTATTACTTCACTGAATGAAGTATCAGAGGCTTCATCATTTTACTCCTCAGGAAATTAAATCTGTGATGCCAATTACACCAGCATAGAGTTGAGATTTGAACCTATCTGGCTTCAAAAATCCATGCTTTTATTCATGACACATTTTACATAGTCTCCTTCTTAAAACGTTAAGTACTAAAATCAGACCATTTCTATGATTTATCTGCCCTTTTGTGAAAATATGAAGTATAATGAGACCTTTAACTGATGAGTCAACGTTACATCACTGTCGTCATATATTATTATTCTATCTCGTGATATACAATGAGGCTGCCAAGAAATGCTGTTGTGGAGAGGCCAACAAGGGGCATGGTTAAGGGCACTGGATTCTCACATGACTTACCGTGGTTCAAGTCCCAGAGCAGGTGGCTTGCTGTCTCAATTTCCATCTCTCTCTCTCTCTCTCTCTCTCATCAAATTTAAATAAATAAATAAAGTTAGATGGAATGATTCTTTAAAAAAAAAAGAAAAAGAAAAGAAAAAGAAAGAAAGACTGATGTGGGTAGAAGTAATTGTTCTTCCTCTAAATTCTTGAGTTCCCCAGTGTGCTGTTTCAATATTTTGCCTCTTCCCTCACTCAGAAACTACCATCTCAGGACCAGCAGATGGCATAATGGTTATGTAGCTGGACTTCCACATAGTTGACCACGGTTCAAGTCCTGGACCAAGTGGCTTAAAAACTCACTCTGGGTACATGTACATGCATACCCAAAACCCCAAGAGTAGAATGGGGGAGAAGGGATTGCGGCATGGCCACCCTGCCCCCGGGGGGGGGGTATTTCTTGCTTTCTGTCTCTGTCT